AGAAAAAGAGATTAAAATATATATATATATATATATATATATATATATATATATATAATGTTAAAATTCAAATAAGAAATGATAAGATGAGATCCCGACCCCCTCTGCCAACAACAAACAACAAAACGACATTTCACAAGTTCCAGGTTAAGCAGGACATGGATGAAGCAGGTGAAGTTCATATTTGGTGCCCCCTCCCACTACCCCGACCCAGATGCCCCCTAAATTACCTCCCCCCCTCCAGACACCGTATAGGACCGCAATCACAGTGCGCCCCCAACTGGCTACACCCTTCTTCCAATTACCACTCAACTGTGTGTGTTTTGCATTAAGCAGAACAACTCATAATTGATTCCGACGGAAAGTTATGGAGGCATGGACATCAACAATGGCTCTAAGTAAAGTCAAACGAAATCCAACCTCTCCTGGTCGCCGACACCAACTTGCGTGTGCGTGCACGTGTGTGTGTGTGTGTGTGTCTTCGTCATCACTGATACTCAAAGAGCGAGCTGATGAGACGCCTCTTGCCTCCCTGCTGTCATTCATACCTATAAGTCTTATTTTACTGCGTAAACGAATCTGTTGCAGCGCGTAAAAGCTGATCCGCGAGTCACATCAATGCATGGCGCGCGCAAAAAAGGGGCATTTCTGTGACACGCCAGAGCGCCAAGTGACATTTTTCTTTACATATTGTTATTCTGCTATTCATCACACTTTATAACCCAATGCTGGTCGACTGAACTACTTAATAACGTCCGCCGTTAAGAGGAAACTGCACTTTTTCTTTCTTTTTTTCGGTACGGCACAGATCGTTCCCCCTCGCTGTTGGCATGTGGGTATGTAAACACTTCACTGCACTTCCTTGTGTCCAAACTACCGCAAACACATTTCGGTGTTTTCCTGCGGTCAGAAAAAAAACAGAGAGAAAGAAATCACAATCTAGGCTGAAGTTGTTGGGTAACAGTGGAAGCTTCGCACTGGAAGTTGTGAGCGAATGTCCGCAAGTCGAGCCTGCGCTGCCTTCACATGCAGGCAAAGGTCTCTGGCCATAAAGCTAATGCGTGCCCTTTAATGGCGAAACAAGCCTTGATGACCACGTTATTCAACGAACTCTGCTCGGAGGCTTCAGACAGAACTTTTTCACCCAGGAGGTTCCATGTTTTGTTTTTTTTATGGAGACCTGTGTCTAAGTGAAAATGCGTGTAGCTACAAAAACCATCCAAGGAAGTTGTATTTGCAGGGGAGGAAGGGAGACGCAACAGAACGATCAGTAGATCCCCCACGGGTTAGAATAAAAACCGAGAGGCTGAATATTCTCACTTACGCGAAAACTCCCGTTTGCTCAAGTGCAGGGGTTTGCCTTGCTTGCGGCGAGACATGGTCGGTTCGGCGGGGGCTTCTCAGCTGAGTTCACATTGGGAAATCCGTCCCTTCGAGGTACACTCCAAATGAGAAAATCTTCATTGATGCGTCTGTCATCCGGATGAAGGCAGAAGGGGGACGAGAAAAAGAAAAAAAAAAAAAAAAAAAAAAAAAAAAAGCAGAAGCGGAGCTGAGGGTCAGACGGAGCGGGATGCGTAACGCGCGACGGGCTGTGTGGAGCTCTTCATGACTTTTTCCTCCAAAGAGGGAGAGAGAGAAACAGAGAGAGAGAGAGAGACGGAGAGTGATGGGGGTATACGGCGACCCCCCCACACCCCCACCACCACCCCCCGAGCTGCAAGTTCAAGTGCGGACGTGACGTTCCTGCGAACTTGAACGTCAGGAGGTGGACGGACTGAGACATAGAAAACATGGGCTGGGCGAAGCAGGCCTATGGGAGGGGAGGGAGGGAGGGAGGCAGGGGGGCAAGCCTAATAAAAACCAATGGACACTCATTATTGACTACCTATGGTAGAGAGAGAGAGAGAGAGAGAGAGAGAGAGAGAGAGAGAGAGAGAGAGAGAGAGAGAGAGAGAGAGAGAGAGAGAGAGAGAGAGACCCCAAACATACCAGTGGACGAAGGAGATCAAGTGGGCTGGGCTACGGGAGAGGGGAAGGACCACTCCGGGACGCATGGAGCAGGGAGGCTGCGCAGCGTGGATGTAGTGGAGGACAAACTCAGTTATTACGCTCATGTGAATATGCAGCGTATTTGTAAATTTCAGAGCAGGACGCGTGAACACCAGAATGCGCTTCTTCTGCTGTCATTGGATTGCTCTCAACATTAGTTATGAGAAACAAGCATGCGTTATTGATTTCTTGATCAGATCTATCCGGATTCTTGTTTTGTTAGAACTAAGAGGTGAACGAAAAAAAATTAAAAAAAAAATAAAAACACGGAGCAAAGTGTGACGCTTCACAAAACGAGAAAACGTTAAAACAACATGAAAATATATTTAGACAGGAATATTTGTGGAATATGACCTGATATGAGTTCAGCATATTGTTTCTTTTGCATATCAGCTTGAATAGAGATTTTCTACTTTATTTTGATTCCTGTTCGTTTGCTTCCTGCTGTGACAAGTGAGCTTCCTCTATTGGGCTCAATCAAGTCCCTTATTGTATTACATACAAAACATGTAAAGAAAGAGATCTGCTTTTCATTCTCCTTTTTTTTTTGTCTGTTTTATTTTATTTATTTACTTTCTTTTCTTACAATCCAGCAGAACGAACAAAATTATTTGCGTCAACAAAAACAATCACGCGTTTTTATTCAGTCATATTATTATTATTATTATTTTTTTTTACGAGTTCAGAGTCCACTACTTGCAATTTCTTTAGTGACATGCTTAGTTGTTTAAACGTGTTTAAATTCAGGCTTAAATAAATACAATAAATATGCAGAATACTAATAATAGTACATTTGCTGTCACTGCAACCCATCTGACCTCAGAGGGCAATGAGATAAGGTCTGCAGCATATGACAGAGCAATAAGCAATTTATTAGTGCAAAGGTAGGCTGAATATGCGGCAGCATTTAGAATAAAAACTGAAGATTTACAAATCCTAAAAACAAATAAGTAAATCATAAATAAATAAAAAGTATTGTATATACTGCATTTATTTCTGAATAGCTGGTGGTCGTTAACACCAATAATAATATGAATACGAATGAGCTATGACAGTGACATCATTGAGTCCATATCAATATAGGCAATATTATTTCTATTTTAATTATGAGTGGAAACAAAACACATTAGGTTTGCACAGAAATACCTGCTTTGCATTGAGGCTTTATATTTTTGATCGCAAATAAGGAAATAAGTGTTTTTATTCCAAAAACACTTATTAAACAGTTCCAAAACCTCAGACGTCGAGTCACATCCATTCGCTCTTGCTTTGTGAAGGAGTTTGACATAATTTACATGTCTAAAAATGACATTTTTAGAAATAAGATATGGTTAGAGCATCTCCTCATCCAACATTCAACAAATGCTGACAGAAAAGTCGTAAAGTAAACTTTATTGTAGTATCATTAGGATGTCCTTGCCCACAAAATGGATGTCCTTGCCCACAAAATGGCATTGTTTAATAATAATTAGTGGGAAGCATTACAAAAGATCAAACACTTATAAGTGAAATGAAAATGAAACCATTCGGTCCTGACAGCAGTTCTGTTGTCTTGTTTGAACCTGACCTTTGTGGTGATTTATTATATCCTGTTTCTTTCCTAAATGTCTCTGTGAACGCAGTGGCCTGCTTGATAAGTGAACGCTCGCTATTGAGGAAGTCGCGCGACTGAGTTTGACGTCGAGTATGGAGCGAGCTATGGAGCTCAGTACTCTGGCGCCATCTAGTGTCTAGAGTTATATTTACGTTCAATTCTACAACATAACTTTATATATCTCTTTAATGTCTTATTTGAAAGACATAAGCCGTTTTAGCAAACGAATGTATTGATTATTGTCAGAATTGCATGGTCAGATCATTTGACCTACAGAGTCAGTTAACACTACAGACTATGCCAAGCAGTGGAGTAAAACCATCCCTAGTGAATACATCTACATGACAGACCCCATGCATCCAAGTCTAAACTCTGAGCGTGCATGCCATCTGATATTTATATTATTTTTAATGGATTTAAGTGGATCTTGACAAAGAATTCCAGAGAACAAGAATGTCCACAGGAAGGCAAAATGAAAGGAAACACAGACCGATAAAAGAGACGTAACCCAGGGCCTGGTGTACTACAACCTTTAAATACAGTCTAAAGAACATTTCCTCATCCAACATTCAACAAATGTTGGATGAGGAGACTTGTATTCAGTTTTACAAGTCGCTTAAAATTTGTCCTGTGTGAACAGAGGTGAGCTATCCTTTCACTAATACACTTTGACAACTGTACGACAAAAGCTGAACTCAGGGATTGTATTCATGAGAGAGAATAAAAATCTGCTTGATTGATTCTATTAACTACTGAGGAACTTCAAAGAATTTCATCGGACAGAGAAAGCAGATCATAGGTATTTGTGTTTGATGCATGAATCACAGAGATTGTTCCAGATCAACTCAATGCTTTGACGCCATCTAGCGTCCAGTGTCAGAATTACGTTTACAGAAAACAACGACAAAAACTCACTCCTATATTTTTTTAGGGCTAGTCAGTAAAGAAATACAAATCAGCAGACAAAACAGTTAAATAAATACAAATATAGTCCACTGTGAGTCTAGTTCAAAAATGCGCTTTGAACTGAGATTGTTTTACTATTATCTTCAAATGAGCTGCGATTCTTATATGTCTTCGTCAGATGAATACAAGTGGATAATAAGATTTATGAACACTTTCGTCGCGGCATTAATTAGCTATGTTGCATCGTTGGTGTTGTTGTTTTTTCTTTCTTTCTTGGTTCATTTGTTTTCCAAAATCTCTGCTCTATAAATTTGGATTTCCTACAGTCATCATCCACCATCATCCTCACTCATGATTTCCAGCCTGTGGCCTGGTATTATGTAATCCCATTTGCTCTCCCTATTCGAGCCCACAGCGCCACCGACAGGCAAAGACGTAGAGGCGCAGAAGGAGCCCTGGTTGGGTAGCGGCGGCTCGCTTGGAGCAGCTCCAGCCAGCTCGTAATAATTCCTCCTTAAACATCCGTCCAGCTCAGTAGGCTGTCGGTCGGACGCCGGGTGTCCAGCAGGTGAGAGACTTTTGTCTTCCTTAGATTGCCGCTGCTGCTCTGAGTCACTCTGCTGCCTCCTCGGCTGTCAGGATGTAGGCGGTGACACGAGCATCGCTGCTGGTGAGACGTTACAGGCTCTTTATTTTTATTTTTTGTTTGTTTGTGCTGTTTGTGTCGCTGGAGGAAAGCTTTCGAAATAATAATAATAAAAAACAAAACGTGAGACTTGTCATCGTTAACCCGCTTGAATTGGTCCGTGTTGGGATTTAAAGGGAGGAGGAACATCAAGGATGGGATGTGGACGCCCCGGATGATCACGTCGGTAATTAGACTCACGGCTCCGCGTTTATTCCCGCACCTTTCTCGTTTTTCGACAGCGGAGACTGTTGGACCTGGATGCTCCTAAAAAGTGCTCCTGGGTTTGAACGGCTCCTCGTTGTGAGCGCCGCATCGAGTCATGGCCTAACTGGGGTAATTTACAGGCTCGGGCATCGGCCTGTTCCACCCCATCATCTGCGTCCGCCTGTCTGCGCGGCAGAGGGGCCGTCAGTTACTGTACTGGGTGAAACCGTGCAGGAAATCATGGGGAAATCTGGGACATTAGTGTGGGCACTGGCTCTGAAAGCCCTCCACATGGAGTGGTGTCCCAACGGGGGGATGTCTTAGTTATTGCACATAGCAAAGTGTGAGCAATTATTACATCTTTAGATTGTACATATTGTTAATGCAGAGCGTGAGTCAGCAGCATTCTCCATGGGTTGATGGTGCTGCAGCCCTCTAAAAACTACTGGGGGAACATAAACCTAATGTGAGTTTAACCCAGGGTACAGGTGCAGCTATATAAAGTAGTCATATTATTGAAAAGTTTATACATTTCAGTAGCTCAGTTTAAAAAGAAAATTAAACTTGTACTATGCGGCTTAACTACTTATTGTTAGGATAAGAACAATGAAAAATGCAGGCGTGTGTCTATATGTCCTCATCATCATTGATTTCCAAATGGAGAATTTATTTTTAATTTCAAAAGATGATTTTGGACCGCTGGACATCATTTTTCTCCTTAGCCTTTGTAAAAACAAATCTCCGGTCATCTTTAGTTCACAGGTGGTGCGTGCGTGCGTGTGTGTGTGTGTGTGTGTGTGTGTGTGTGTGTGTGTGTGTGTGTGTGTGTGTGTGTGTGTGTGTCATTCCTGAATTGGTTTTGATTCTCTAGCCTCTCAAAGTTGTAGTTGTACCTCTTACTTTTGCACCTTTTTCTAACAAACTTTTTCCTTTCTCTCAACTTTACATTGATTTACTTGAAAATTACATTCAGTGAACAACCAGCCTCGTTAGCAATTTTTTATTTTATTTTATTTTTTTTGCTTACCTTCTTCTGGAATGATAGATATGATGGACCTGGTCTTCTCAATGATAATTTTATATTGAAAAGAAAATGTTTCTACTATCTGGCGCTCAGTTTTATGCCCATATAAGTCTAATTTTCACCTCAAATACCTAAATTTATACATATTGCTTTGCTATAATTTAACTACTTTAACTTAATGAATGAGATGGTTGATTGCAAAAATAAGGACTTTTGTCTTATATGACTGTTAATATATAGACTTAACAAGGAGTTAAAGAGATTTAAAATGTGATGTTTGGGTTAAAATGAATAATTTTTTTATCCGTTTATATTTTACCCTTGCTTAATCCTGGTGGGGTCACTGATAACACTCTCCAGTAGGCAGTGGGGCCTTGACAGGTTGTCTGTCCATCACTAGGTAACAGAAACACACAATCATTCACTCTCACACTGGACTCGCTTGCTTGTGACGGTGTTGATAAATGTACCACACCAAAATGAATGATTGTTAGTTTTAAAACCACAATGGTTTAAATATGCAAGAGATCCAGTGAAGTCTGATCTTATCAACAACGTTCTGTGAAGAACCCAGTTTTGGGCCAAATGTTTGGTTAAAACAACACAATCTCTGTCCCAGCAGCATAACCCAAGCTTCTGGAGTGAATGAATAGCCCAGCAGTTTTCAGAGTGTGCGCGATGTAATAAAGGGTCAGAATGGAAGTCATATGATCCCGAGGAGCAGACACAGGGGTTTGCTTTTGCAAGGAAACTTGTTTCCCTCTTGCTTCTGGACCTCTTGGATCTGACAGATTTAGCCATCTGAATGCTCACATCACTGTCTCTGCCCTGCTAGAAAACAGCCTCATAATCTATCAAATGGCATCACCATTTCCTCTGCTTCTTTCTGACTCTTTTTCTTCAGTGGTGTGACTTCTGGATTTGCTGAGGGCAGCTCCTAGGAGTACTTCACTGGGCAAGTTTTGAAGGATGCCAGAAATTCTGTAAGCCATCCCTTGATTTCATGCTTGTAGTTGGTTTTACACTTATACTACCATAGGCAGTAATGATGAGCATGTCCATGTCCTTGAGTGATGTCAGAAATAGCAGCTGTGCACATGATGCACAAACCACATGCAAAGATAGAGAAATTTAAATTTCTGTATAGTGTCTTGGAGAAACGTTTGATATTGTACAGGTTCTTTTCTCAGAATCTTAAACTGTATTGTAATACATTGGGATTTGCTCTGATAGACTAACACAAAGTAAATTATAAACACACAGAGAAAGAATAAATATTTTTTAATTAAAAAATCTAAAAAAAGTGTGCTCAGCCTTCCCGAATTAATACTTTGGGGAACCATTTTTCTCTGCATGTTTAGACTCAATTATTTTAGTTCAAATAAGTTATAAACAATCTAAAAAGGTTTGAATTATTTTGCAAAGTGGGGCAAATAAATATTCAAACTATTCCACCTCTCCATCATCCCAGCTCTTGCCACACCATGATATTGCCACCGCCATGTTTTGTGTTTCGCAATTCACATTTTCTGAAACAATTAGCATTTAAATCTAGGCCAGAGATTTAGAGCACCTTCACCAGACAGGTTTCATGTAACATGGTTTCCCTGTTGACAGTTGGACAACCACAATGTAGGTGGACGTTCATATCTTGGTTGGCATGCAGTTGAACCATATGGTTTACATTTTCCAGGCATTGAGGAGTTATCTGGGATAGGTTCAAAACTTGCTAAAAGTTATGTAGAATCTACCTCTATTTATCCTGTTCCACGTCTTTCTCCCTGACCCGTCTGCTATATTTCTTTGGTCTTCTTGATGCTTTTTGTTCAATTGTGTTCTCTAACCCAGATCTGAAGGTGAGTAAAAAGAATGTGGGTACAAATGCAGGCTATGCTTTTCACTTTTTTTGTAAAACATTTTGAAGACCTTCAGTCTTGTTACTTCTGCTTCACAATCATCCAGTACTTTAAATTGGACTGTCATATAAAATCCCAGTCAGGTAGATTGAAGTATGAGGTTTTAGTATGACTGGAATGTCAAGTGCTATGAACATTTTTGCAAGGCCCTCCACATATTTATCTACCTCCGCATATGTAATTGACCCAGCTGGTATTCTTAGTACGCATCATTTTGTTGAATGAAGTGTGAACTGTGATTTGTCTCTCCTCTTTCTTTCAGCATGACGCACTAGCGGTCCAAGGTGATCCTCTGAGGCAGAGATGAGTCTGACGTCCTGGTTCTTGGTGAGCAGCGGTGGGACGCGCCATCGTCTTCCCCGGGAGATGATCTTCGTGGGGAGGGATGATTGTGAGCTCATGCTGCAGGTACGACACAAACTCAATTACCAGTTGCACTTCCTTATGCTGCTAAATATTCTGATAAATGAAAATGGATTACATACGGGTTTGTGTGTGATTTAGTCTCGCAGCGTGGACAAACAGCACGCTGTCATCAACTACGAACCAAACACAGATGAACATAAAGTGAAGGACTTGGGCAGCTTAAATGGGGTGAGTTATTGTGAGCTTGGAAACCTGAGCTTGGCTCCATCAAATATAGGTAATGCCAGACATGAGTCTAACTGCATGCAGTGACATACCAGATATACTTAAATTCATGTAAATAAGTAAGGCCTTAAAAAGTCTTACGTTCATTTTAAAAATGTAAGTAAGCTTTAAATAAAATAATCACAGGTCTAACTTTTTGTCTGGGTAGGACGATTTAGTCTAATGTCTGTAGATTATTCTTCTCATGGGACGTTAAGCAAACATTTCAGAAGCATGCAGACATTTTGTGACTTCAGGTGGTTGAAGTTACATCAACCAGCGACTGACATACCCTTCCTACCACGACATAGGTTTTTGTTGTGTCTGTCTCATGAAAGTGTAAATTTATCATCAGCTGTCTGGCATTCTGTGCTAAAATGCTCATCAGTACTACAATATAAAATATGCAATTTTCTTCTGTACATCTCTGTCATGTTACACATCTTTAATCTTATTTATTTTATTCATAATGGCCTTAAAATGTCTGAGAAAGCATTAAGTTTGGCTTGGTAAAATCTGCAGAAGCCTTATGTTATTTATTTAATCTACAAACTACCTTAGACTACTTTTCTGACATCAATTTCCTCTGTATTCTGTGAACAGCCCATTTTATACAGGATTTAACCTTATATTTTGCAGACTTTCGTCAATGACGTCAGAATACAGGAGCAAGACTACGTCACGCTGAAGACCGATGACAAACTGAGGTTTGGATATGATATCCTTCAGAAGTTCTACTGTGCAAAGAGGCCAAATTAGATGACTCCCACACACAAAGCACTGTCAGCTGTGTAACTTTATCTGTTTGTGAATAGATGTGAACTCTCATTGTACTCTGCCTGCTGCATTATACATAAGGCTATTCAGTGCGTGTTTCTCAGTGCTCAGCAGACCTACCCAACATTTGCCTTAACCTACCTCACATACCAACTTGTTCACTGTGGTTCGAGGAGAGCTGCACATTCCCGAGGAGGCCCTCAAGGTTAGACAGCATGCTGTGCATTGAAAAATTCAAAAAATTAAAACTTGCTTGCAGATAAAGGCTGTCCTGCTCAAAACAGGACAGCCTTGTAATTTTTTTTTTTTTTTTTTTTTTACTTTGTGGTCAGGGAAATAAAAAAGTTCTGCTGAATCAAACTAAAACTTCACAGTTGATAAAGCGCTGTTTCATCTTGTCAAGCTCAGGTAGCTGCAGGGAAAGGTTTTTATCTTAATGAGCTTGCAGAATTCCAGCGTAAATAGTTAGAAAGACTTCCGTAACATGCAAAAGTGAGTACATACTGCAAAAAGTCTGCATTCAGCTCATTCATTAGCTTGACATTACCATGTTGCGTTTTTTTTTTTTTTTCTCTGTAAACTCAAATGTCAGCATGAGAAACTGAGCAGCCAGCTTCAGATGATCCAAAGGAAACCTGCAGAAAAATGTGAGGTGAAGCCTTCAGAGGCAGCGGCGGCTTCAGGTTCAGAAGGAGCCACGTCAAAACCTCCAGAGTCCGGCAAACCCGAGGATAAGACAGTAGGTGAGCTTTAACATCCGTGGAATAATAGAAATCCAACACACCGCACTCTATTTCGCAGGGTTATTTTTCTAACTTATGAATAAATTAGATATAATAAAAGAAAACGCAACAAAAGTTTAGTGGTAGAAAAATTGTTGGAAGAATTGCACTAACCCACACAAGCTCAGTTGTTGAATGAAGTGTGAACTGTGATTTGTCTCTCCTCTTTCTTACAAGTATTTTTCTTGTCTAATTGTATAGGAACGGCACATGCTGCATTAGTTTTTTGAAGCTCATTGTAGACTTTTACCTTTCTGCTATGCTAGTACAGAATGAATTTAATTCTCTGAAAAAATGTCTGAATTAATTTTTTCCTTTGGTGGCCTGAATTAAAGATAGAGAGGACAAGCTTGAAAGAATGAAACATGGCAATTTTTGTCATAAATCCAGACTTCTTTTTATCCACGGAATAATCTGGGTCTGTTTGTGAAGCCGACTAAACTTTCCCAAGGTGGGAACAAATGGACTTCCTGTGGCCAAAGTCCAGCTGTAAAAGCACTGTGGATAAAGAGTTAGTATATCTCCATAGAGGAAACAGTTTATTTTAGTTTCTTACTATCTCTATAGTTTATTTCTATAGTTTCTTACATATCAAGATCTGCAGTAAAACCTTCCACACAAAAGAGTATCACTTTTACCGCAACATGGTCGCACTTTCACCTAATGCGTTCACTGATTGGAAAAGGATCATATACTTTAGTTTCCATCAGGTCAGGCTTGATCAAAATGAAAATTTGTTCATTTCAGTCGCCAGGTGATTTTTTTTCGTTCCGCTAACATTTTTCAATTTGGGAAAATGGTAACTGTGAAGTGTGCACCCAGTTCAAACTGTCTTCTCCACATTACAAGCGCTCCCGTGCTCCGCTCGTAAATCTCTCCTCCATTCAGTAAGACTAACCAATGCATTGGTTTTAACAGGAGACATAGCAGTTTTACACCGGGGCACGCCCCTTTATGGGCAGCCTGCTTGGTGGGGAGATGGAGACACGGATGATCAGCATCCCGAAAAACCTGAGGAGAAAACCTCTGATAGGAAGAATGAAAAGGCAGAAACGGGTACGATCCGTTTTTCAGAAATATGACGTGACCAATGCTATTTTTGCAATCCTAAAACAAAAGAAGTAACTAGATGATGAAGTTTAAATTGCCAAATCTTTTCACTTTATTATAGACACCAAAAGAAGTGCAGAGATCCCAAAGTCTTTGCCTCAAGCAGTCTCAAATCAAGAACCCAGCTACTTTGAAATTCCAACAAAGGATGCTCCCATCGCAGCTAACACCAGTGAACGTCCTCCACAAGATCAAGAGACAAATGCTTCCACTGCTGCTGTGGAGCCCATCCATGGCCATGCCTCATTCACCATCGAGTTTGACCCTGGGGCGTCAGGCAAAGTGTTGGTGAAGGATCGGGTGGCAAAAGTAGGACCAGAGACCCGACCCCGCCCAAAGAGGGCTGTTGGAGAAGACCTGAGTCCGCTTCAGACAGCCATGGTGGCAGCCGAGGTTAAAGTTGCTGACTGGCTGGCTCAGAATGAGCTGCCATTGGCTCTGAAAGAGACAGTGGCAGAAGATGATGGAGAGAGTGTGAAAAGCGATGTTCCTGTGCATCTCAGGAGTCTCAAAGGTGCGTGATGAAACGTGTTACAGTATTTGGTTAATTTCTTCCTTTACGCAGTCATTTGATATACGTTCTAATGTGTGTTGCACACACGCCAGGTAGTAAACATGAGGATGGCACTCAGAGTGATTCAGAGAATGCTCTTGGGGAGCAGCGCAGGGCTGCAGCGCTGGAGGAGCGCTCATGGGGTCTTTGGGGCAGCACTGGCATCAAAGAAAGTCGTGCAAATGTACCAGAAGGCCTGTTTGCAGAAGAGGAGAGTCCTGCAAGGCGTTGCAAGTCTTCAACATCGAAAAGGCAGAGCGGGTTGGTGGAAAGGCGGCGTGGCTCAGCATCACATCAGCATGGTGGTCGTGAAGAGTGCTACGGACACAGAGATGAATACAGTGACAGAGGGACTTACACCATTGAGCAGGAGAACGGGGCCAATGAAGAGCAAGAGGCTAGGAAACTGATTGACAAGGTAAAGGCTGAACTTTTTTCTTTATCAGATCACAAAAGTTCTTTTTACTTTATTTTATTTTCATTTGTGTCTTCCAGGTATTTGGTGTGGATGAGCATCGTGTTTCCAGGAAGGGAGGGATTGATCAAAGAGAGAGGTTGTCTTCACAGAGGTCTGGTTCGAGAGACAGAGGAAAGCCTGGACGTCTGGAGACAGAGGTGCAAAAGCATTCTTCTGACCTAAAGTGATTAACCAAGACTAAAACTGTTTTAGCGATACACGAGTACTGCGAGCAATTCATTTTTTTCTTACGATTTAGTTCTTGTCTGAAGAGTTGATGGTTGGTGGTCCTCGTTGGGTGTCACAGTGGGCTACTCTTGCTGCCAGCCACATTCGGACAGATCCTGAGGGATCCGGAGGGGACAGTCACACCATGGTCACAGAGGACAGAGGTACTCAGTTTAGGTCATAAGATCACACACATCATTTATTTAATATATTTATTTAAAAGTATTTTTATACACTTTGCATCTTTTCAGCCGCATCAATAAAAAAAACCTATAAAAACTCACAGCAGCAGTTTTCTGCCTAAGTGGTTTTTAGATGACAAAAGACTATAATATCCCAAGATGTTTGAAGCAATGGCTTATGGGAGGTTTAAACCTATGGTTTCTGTTAATGGTGGAACTCAAGATGAAAGTATTGAAAATTGAAAAACAGAGAAGGAAGGGAGCAACAAGGACTGATTGGTGGATGGAAGGATACAGCTTTGAATGGATGTTGTTTGGTTAGTTGGATGGTTGTATGGATGATGGATGGATGGATGGATTTAATGCCATTTCATAAAAAGATTTTCTAATTTTTCAGCAGAAATACGTGGATCCAGCCACATGGCCTCTGTGCACACCGAACGCAAGAGGAGAACCCTACCACAGCCACCTGGCGAAGAACTTAATCTGGGAAGAAAAACCCAGGGTGGATGTCTGAACCCAGATATGGGTGAAAAGCAGGATACTGAGCCTCAGGAGAAAGAGAATCAAGATGAAAGGCTATCCAGAGGAAATAAACAAAGTATTCAAGGCACCAGAGGTGTGGGCAGTCAGAGCGGTAGCCCAAGTCGATCTTCTCCGGCCAAATCACAGGACAGTGGTGGTGGTAAATCAAGTCACTCGGGTGTCCTGAGCAAAGTCCCTCCACGTCCACTGACCAGTGGACAGAAGAGAATGGAGGAAGAAAGGAGGAGAAAGAAGGATGAGGAGAAAGCTAGAGAGAATACCGGGAAACCATTGCTGAGGCAGGAGAGTTTCACTGTGGAGAAACCGAGCTCCAGTGTACCCATAGAACTTATTCCACGAATTGATGCCTACACAGGAACCAAAACTCAGAGTAGGGATGGGGGCATAGACAGTGTCTCAATGCAGAAAGACTCAGAAGCTGTGGCAGCTTTTCTAGAGAGCACTGTGTCAGACCAAGGTGATCCACCAAGTCAGTCTATTGAAGGTTCCATGTCTCCAGAGTCAGACGTAGACACAACAAGCACAGTTAGCCAAGCCGATGGAGTTAGAAAAGTAGTTCAGAAACGCAGGATACTAGCTGGGCAGCAAAAGGAGAGAACAATGGTCTGCACCTCTAACAAGGGCCCTACTGGGAGCAGAGAGCCTCTGGACAGGAGGGGGAAGAACAGAACCTCTGGCCCTCAACAACCAAGTCACCCCTCAACATCCCTGGACCTTACTGACGATGACATCAACTCCAACTCCCTCCTTTCCGACTCACAGCCTGTCTCCACACAAGACTCAAGGGGTTCAAACTTTAGAGGCCAAACAGTTGGGGCCAGCACCAAGTCTAGTCGGGCCAAGATGACACAGCCATCACCTTCTTCTGCCCCAAACAAAGCCAGTAACGTTCCCAAGCCAAGACCTACTCGGACATCCCTGTTGAGGCGAGCCCGGCTGGGGGAGTCATCAGATACCGAACCTGCTGATATGGACCGGATGTCAGTGGCTTCTGAGGCGTCAACTGCTAGTTCCACATCCAGGACAGGGATAGCAAGAAGGGGAATGTCTAGAATAGAGGCTCTAGCACAACCAAGGAGACCAAGAGTTGGGTCTCCATCTGCCCAGAGCGACTCGGAGGCCACCGTGGCTAAAAGCAGAGGGTTGAGCGGCCGAAGTGCAGCAGGAGATTATGCTCTCAGACAGGGATTGAGAGGTTCAAATGTGGCTTCACTATCCGGACCCAGAGCCAGAGCTAACAGTGCCTCCAAGGTGCCTGATAAAACTAAAGGAACATCATCGTATGGGCATATGACACCTGCATGTAAGTGGAAAATTTTTCACCAGAATCCATGTTGTCTGTGACTGAAATCTGTTCAACAATCTCTTTGGTGTCAGTGCTTCTATTTCCATCATTGTTCTTTTAAGTCATTGTTCATTTTGAATTGTATAAACATTAGAAAATGTTCAAATGTGCTGGTTTTGTTTGTTTCAGTTAATATTTACTGCGAAATGCAACATCAGCACTGATTTTCAGACATTTTTGAAGTCCAAATTTTCTTGCTGGTTTTTCTGGCACAGCAAAAATGTTTAGAATTTTTCTTCTTAAAACCTTTGCTTGCCTTGAAACCAGTCAACCCACTCGTGCCTAGATGACGTTATCTTCATATTCTTCGTAACCAGAAGTCTTTGTGTGTTGAAGGTTTAGCTTCTTTCGTATCTTCTTTTAAGCTGGGACTCGGTGGCGCCGTGTTCCTGTGGAGTATGCATCCACTTCTGAGGATGAGTATGGCTCAAATCGCCACATATCCAAGCAGGGGCCTACGAGGCCATTCCCTTCGACCCGAGTTGCCCAGTTAGGAGGTTCAGCTCCGGCAACACCCAACCCTGCAGGGCTGACCAGCTTGAAGCAGAATTCCAGGGACCAGGATGAGTATATGAGAGACTGGACAGCGCACAGTGAAGAAATAGCCAGGTGCGTGGGTGAGAAGAGCTGACGAGCATGCAATAAAAAGTCCATTTTTAGATCCAACAATGAGGATGTTACTTCCCTCCAAAAACACTGTTGTTACTTTTGCCGCATGGGATGTTTTTCGATTGCTTTTTATTTGTGCAGTTCTGATCGTAGTCTATGGTATGTGTGAGTATGAGGTACGGGATGATAAACACAAGCACATAAAAAGGAAGTTGATATTTTTAGGTGCAATGAAATGATGTCATTACTTTTACTTGTTAATCAGGATCAGCCAGGATTTAGCCAAAGATTTAGCAATGCTGGCACGAGAGATTCATGATGTGGCTGGAGAGATCGACTCAGTCAGTCCTGCAGCAACTGACCCTGGAGCTCTGGTAGGAACACATCACATTACATGAGCGTCAACACAGCTGACAAAACAAATATTTATTTACAGGAATGTACAACTGACATTTGAAGTCTTTATTATTATTATTATTATTATTATTATTATTATTATTATTATTATTATTATTATTATTATTATTATTAATTTCCTTTAGTTGGAGGAGTCAGTATTTGATGATGGTTTGGATCTGGGTGGTTCCACCGCAGAGCAGAGCAGGATTCTGGCAGGCGAGGGCCAAACCGTGGAGCTACGACAACGAAGCTCAAACGATCAGAGCTCTCGCTCTATCCGTCGACAGACATGGAATAGAGACGACGTGAGTCTGAGGCTCATTATCGAACATCAGTTAGTTGTACATTTGCACAGGCATTTTGCACTTGCTGAGGACAGATTGCTTCAAAGTCAACAACTCTATGCAGTAACTCGGGTTTTCCAGTTGGTTTTATTTGATCCGCTGACTGCAACTGTAATTAGAATCATATTGGACTGTATGAGACTTTGTAATTTGATTCTACTGCAATAAGTTGGACTAATTCAAATTGAATTTGGACCGATCTGAATTCTGTGAAACTGGCTATGAAATGGATGCAACATGTAATTTGGCATATTATGAGTAAACTAAATTAAATCATTAATGATACCGTGATATTGTTGACTGCTGCTGTCTCGACGAGCTAATTTAGGAAGGTGCAGGCACAAAACTGTGTATAACTGTTGTTGTAAACACTGTAAAATGATATATGGTTTACAAATATGCAACGTGCAACAGAAAACACTGCTCATTACACCTCGCACACAATCCCTCTGTGGAACATCGTGGTGCCCGTGACATGCTGTGGAAATCCATTTTCATAAAAGTCTTTCATGAAGTTCATCCACCAAAAAACCCTGCCAGGTTGAAAAATAAGTTCGATTTTTGACAGTAGCCAACATGCCATGCATTCTATCACCATTACAGCAACATAAATAAGAATGCTGAGTTAAAGGCTTATTCTGTCCTGTGGAGAGAAAATAAGTGTTTGACATGGCGATCCCTTTATTATTAACTTTTATCTGTTCCATATTGGATAAAAAGTCGTTTGCTCATGCCCTTGTCCAATGCAAGGTACTGCATGTATCCTCAGTTTCCACAATTCATTTGTCCATTCTGACCTCAGAAACTGGAGTTAAATGTAAAGAGAATAATATAAATAAATCAACTTAAATTGTAATCATTCCTATCAGAACAAGTACAGATAGAACAGTTAATATTTGTTTTTTTCATTTTTACTCATCAGCTGTACCTTGACAATGTGCTGCTTGCTTCTGTGACTCAACTTTCGACCAGAATACGACAGTCTGTGGACAAAACTACCTGCAAAGTCAGGTAAGCTTTGTGACCTGACCGCTTACTTACTGGCTGTTAAAGCAGAAATAAATTACTGTTTCATATTTATGTATTCTGTGTTTTCTGTTAGAGCTGGACAAATTGGCAAAGTCTGAGTGGCAAATCAAAGAGATTTTCTCTGTCAAACAGAATTACGTTTTCTCATTAGGATGAAAGCTCAAAGGTTTTAGGGTTTTACAATCTGCAGACATAGCCAGAAAGAAATGATCTGAACTGTCAGCTAATACTTCTAACAATAGCTATATAAAGCATTTTTCTTCAATTGTGCTTTTATCTATTTTTATCTGAACTCGGCCTCCAGGATTCTTTTCAAGGATAAGGAAAGAAAATGGGATGAGATTGAGACCAAACTGCAAGCAGAGCACGACTCCTTAGTTCTCAAGAGCTCCAGCAAGGTGATGAATATTTCCGATATTCTCAGTTATCCTCTTGATTATACTGCTTGATTATTAAGCAGGCTTTTTGCTGCCTGTCAGATGTTAAATTATTTTGAGGTTATTTGAACTTTGCACCTATCATATGTGTGAATTTAGGCACAGTGCTAACTCGATCCAATAAGCACTTAAGAACTGAAACAGACTGTTCAATCCAGCTATGTTTATTATTTTATTGTTAACGTGAGTTCTCAAACAATACTTTGAATCATAGCCAAAATATATTTCTTTCTACAACTACTGCTTTTTCATTGTTACAATGTTTTAAATACGAATACAGCAAAATCCATTTGATGCACAGTCCCATGAGTTCATGGCCCTTTTTTAACAATATAAATCAGTGTACAAATAAAATTTGTTAGCTGACCAATGTCCTATTTTTAAACAAATCTTGTCTTTTACCCTGTAGAGTTTCAAATGCGGCTAAATACTGTTTCATTTTTTTAAAAAATGTTTATTAGTGTATTCCTATATACAGTAATTGATCATTTTTTTGTAATCTAAAATAATCATTTACTTTACATAGTCAAAATACCTAAATCTAAATTCCATCAATTGCTTACTAATATTAGCGAATATTACTCATTTCCTTTCCTTAGTTGCCTGATGTCACTAAAAAGCATCAAACCCAAAATTAGAAATACCTCTTAGAATATTGGTCTCATGTTGTCTATTCTGATGCAGCAGTTCTAGAAATCATTAGCGAGTCTACATATTTACTTTTTTATTACTGGGGAATCCAGCTCAAGGTTAAGACAATTTCCTGAGTTTGTCAGTCAGATTGCATGTCGTCTTCACATTGCACACTTCTGCTGCCATGAACTTTACATAGTTCACACTCCAAACACTAGATGGCATTAAAACACTTCTAAGAGTATCCGTAGTCAGTATCAAATAACATTTGGTATTCATACACCACCTTGACTTTATTCACAATGAAAAAAAAATTATTAGTTTAGCCTCATTAAAAGTTTCTTTGGTGTAGGGAAATAAATTTTACTGTGTGTCCACACATGAACCCAGAACAGAAATGTCAGACGCTTGTAAAACATTACTCTTCATAAAGACCTCAGCTCCAATTTTTTTCTGCAGCAAAAAGAGATTAGTTGAGTTGATTGGTTCAGTGCTTGAGCTCCTTACTTAATCAATCACATCCTCAAGCATCTGTCTAAATTATGTTCTTGCCAGGAGATTTCAACAATTATTCAAGACCTGAAGAGTGTGGAGAAGCAACTTTCAGGTATGGGCATAAATAGCCATACATCACAAAACTAAACTTCCATAAGAAAATTATTTTATGCATAGTATTTCTGGTGAATTTGGTGCTAAATAATGCCTTGGTTGTTCTCCTCCGAATGAACAGTTATCGATATGATGGTGGACCCAGACGGCACTCTGGATGCCCTGTCCAGCATGGGTCTGACAAGTCCTCTAAGTGACCAGAGGATGAGTCCTGGGAGTCAGCAGGGGGCCCCGGCGTTGCATTCCAGAACAGAGACAAAGACATCCGGCGCACTGTCAGCACCCAGGTGTGAAGAATTTTCTGGCGAGCTCTGTGGATCCTCAGAGCGCACAGAAGGCTCGAAGCAAGGCAAGAGTGTTACATCCTAAAACTGACAAAGAAAATCACATCCAATGATTTTTTATATAAAAACTGACAGGACGTCCTTGGAAAAGACATTGGTGTGGGGTTTAGTCATTTTTATGGCTTTTTCCTCGCTGAAGATAGAAGAAGGTGAGTGAAGCTTTCGTCATGGTAAAGTTTGTTGACTGTGTTGTCAAATGTATCATTTCGGATCTCCAGCGTGTTAAAGGAAATGCAGTTAAGAAAAGATCGAAGTGTTGACAATGAGCCATGTGTCTTTGTGTTGCAGGTTATTTTTGTCCAATATATTTAAAAAAATATCAGAAAAAATCAGACTGACAGAGTGTTAAAACTGAGCTTGTCTTGGTTTTTAAATGAGGTAAAATTGGCCTCAAGTCACCATTACAGACACAAAGTCCCATAAAAGTAAAACAGACAGAATCCTAATTTATAGGGCAGATATCCGGATTTTCTTCTTTTGTTTTTACAAACATACAGCTTCCTGTCGATTCATACTTAATTTTTCTGATTCCAAAAAATATTTATAAACATTTTGGAAGTATTTTGTTTTTACTTTTAACTTGAACAAATGATTTTAAGCTAATTGGTTCGGCCCAACAACTAGTGTAATGTAATTCAATCTATTGAGCACAAGTAGGTGTTTAGTAGTGAAAAACCACAACTAAAACTGAAAAACACCAAAAGACAGTCTAGTCATGCCTAATCAACTTTATGCTCACAAACAGCTCAAGTGACCTCAGTGGTCTGGCTGCTGCCTCCCTGCTGGATCTTTATCACTTACTTTACATGATCAATATTTTTTCTTTTTGATAAGAACCCTCACATTTCTGTTCAACAGGTCTTTTCCAATATACTGTCAGAAACTCAGTATCCAGGTTACAGGTCATCCTACATATAAGATACGAATTTTCTGTTTTGTGACTAGATAGGCTTTGTTTTGCTGTCAACAACAAACTGATTTGAGAGACAATGAAAAGACTAATTTGATTATTTTTTATTGTTTCAATATTTGGAGGGTTTATGGATCCACAATGTGATATTTGCGCTTTAAAGAAGATCCAATTGTATCAGAATAGAAACAAAACAAATCTGATTAAGTGTCCTTTTTTGCTGCCATAGTTATTTATTTAAATAAATGTAAAGTACTTTTCCATGTCTTTCCTGTATATCAGCCTTTCTCTGTATTGACTTTCCAATCTCAAATCTCCATTATGAATTCTTCTTAGGAAATGAAATGGCCTTGCAGGGTATCTTTAGTTACATTTTCTCTTAATGTCCTCTCCTTGTGTTAATGTGGTTGAAAGTCAGTGCATCAGATCAGAAACTGGTTGTTATTAGACAATGTAAAGGCAAATGTAGCTCATGGGGTGGACTTTTCTCTTGCAAGCAAATTTTGTCACAAGTGCTCTGGATCAAACAATCAGTGGAGGTGGTAGGAAATAAAGGGGAGGTGTAGTTTGTTCCTGAGGAGGCTTGAAGTGCTGATTAACTTGTATCGTCTTATTAATATTTGCGGGACCAGGACATGACGTTCCTAAATGACACACATTTACCGTGTTTATGTCTTTCACCAAAAGCAGGGTTTAAAACCAGCTTCCAGGACATGAGAGGTTCCACAAACGGACCGCAAACAAAATGTTGTGTTAGAACCAGCATAGATTGGGACTACCTCTGAGTCCTGCAGCTGCATTTTACTATTTATAATGCAACCAAACAGGTGACTGTGTAATGACCGTAGGCTTTCCAATGTCTTGCCTCATACCAATGTTTACACTTGAATGTACCCTAAAAAGATCTACTTAAAACAAAAAAATCTTTAGCCAAAACAGTTTTAATAGAGACAAATGACTTTGTGCTCAGCACGCTTTCTCTATAATTCTGCAAGTTTGTTGAAGCATTTGATGATGTTTCTTTTTCTTTTTTCGATGTTTGTATGACTTTATTTTGTAATCTTGTTGGGTTAGATGTTGACCTTGCAATAAATGTCTCGTTTGTCTCATTTACAATAAAATGCATGATCCTCATGACCTGTTTAAGATTATCTTTGCTATTATGTAACTGGATAAAAAAAAGAAAACTACTTTTGGAGAATTATTTTCAAATGACTAAAGCTGCTTTATAAATTGCAGATTTGGATTTTCTATGGAAAATTTTGACCAACATATATCAACCAAAGTTATACCAACTTTTGAAATAGAGGATGAAATTGGGATGGTTTGAATCTAAATGCTGTAGATTTATTCTGGTTTTTGAGGTTGTGTTACATTGCTCTTGGGTAGGCCATTTTTAGTTACTCTGTGGTTGGAGTTTAGATACTTCAGACCAGTGCATAGCCAAGGCTTTAAAAACATATATTTTGGCACAGCAAAAACCTCTGACAAAAGTAAGAGAAGAAGATTTAATTTGAGTGAAAACCAAAAAGCCCCATCTGTAGTTTTATTAATCGTTTTATAACTCCGTGGTTTGGTGTTGCGCATTTTGAGAAAGAGTTTAATTTACTTTAAATTCACCATTCAGTCTGTAGCACTATGCAGGCTTAACATATTAAAATAAATACTGTACTACAGAGGTTTTTAAATGTTGCTTTCCAACAACATCTCAGTGAATATGTTTGTTAGCAATTTGAGGTTGTGATTCCTGCTTCAATTAGATATTTTTTCTAGCATAAATAGAGAAACAGAATTTAGCATTAATGAAATATAAGAAATTTATATTCTCAATTAAGTTGTGCCCTCACGCAGTCAGAGCCATTTCACAAGAAATATAGCTTTAAGTCACATTTTCTCTGCAATTCTGCATCTATTATTAACAGAGAATGATTAAAACAGTCATAAACATTGTTACATTATTTTGGTGTGGAGGGATTTTCTTCAATACTGATTTTGCAGTGAGAGTCAGACTATAAAAAACATGCATTGAAAATGTATAGAAAGACTATGAGCAAAATTATCAAAAACGATATATGTTCCCTACAAAAGACAAAAAAAAAAAGATTACTTTATAATTCATACATTTGGATGTCAAGAGTTAAGAATAAAACCCCAAAGAGCCACTTATCACTTATTCTGCACAAGAAAAATCTATTTGTTTCACCATGAGTTCATTTCAAATCATGCAGAAGATAATGAATTATTAGATCAGATCTTCAATAAGCTACGAAGAAAACTGTGTCACTCTTTAGCTTCCTTTATTCTCCTTCTCCTCCCTTAATCCCTCTTGGTCTCTAATGTCTCAGCTGTTCCTCTTACTGCCGTTCGTTTCTCACACTTTCTACGAATAGGATTTTAGAGGTCACCATGTCAAAGTTAAACCACTGCTCCAGACATTCGGCTTCTCTTCCGCAATCCATACAAGCTGATTGACGTTTCCCGGTGCTGATGTGGTTCAGCACCTCTGCAGGAGTCCATTGGAGTGGAAATGGTTTCCCTGAATTCCTACCAATTTACAAGGTGCAAGAATTGGTTACCATTATTCTCACTCCTTACAGTCATATCAATAAATTACAATATATGTTATAATTAGGCTCATTTGTCAGACTAAAACTTGACAACCTTCAGAAAAGGTTGTCAACTGAAACTTAGAGTTACATATTAAACATACTTTTCACTAAGGCTACCATTATGTATTACAATGTTTCTTTTTTGTTGTTGGTCTAATTTTAAATGTTATGTTTTCATTAAGTGAAAAATGATTATAATTGACAGAAATGAAGGCGTTTGACTAAGTGATAAAGTTCTTAAAATAAATTTGAACTTTTCAAAAATATTCTAATTTACTAAATGGCTTCAAAAGAATATATCGCTGCCGAAGTCACTATTTTTGTAGCTCTTTCTGAACTGTACAGTTAAAAAATGAGCTTGCACATATGAAACTGTAATGAATATGGATAAAAGCATCCATCAGTTGTGTCCTGTGTGATATTCAGTGAAACTGAAAGTGTCGTCGACGATTTAGCACCTCAGTATCCTTACTCTGAAAAAAAAAGAATGAATGATGCTACCCCTTTGTTGTGCATTTACATATTTCACTCTCTTTTTTTATTGATGAAACCTTTCCTCTCCGTATTAGAGGAGGAAAAAAGTGAAAGTCTGGGTGGTTCAGTTGGAAAAGTTTCGACGCTGGTCAGCAGAGACTGCACTTCGTTTGGTAACTCAAGTGAAACGACCTTCCAGGGAAGCGGCTGGTCATATTCTTCACAGCCATTATTCACTCTGTCCCGTCTTCGTCCATCACTGTCTGGCTTGGCTCAGCGACAAAACAAGTCAGGTCTAAACTGCAGCTAACAATCAAGTCTATGGAAAGGGGGAACCCCCCTATCAAGGGGGGTTTACAGAGCTATGGTCAGGAAAATGGCAGCTAAAATCTATGCAGACCCCACACATCCTGGACACACACTTCAATTCAAGTGTCTTCATTGAGGTCAAATTCTTGGTTTTTATGTCTAAACTTAGAGAATAAGGCTAATTCTGATTCCGAAGTTACTGGGATAAAAATGGCCTCACTGCATGCATATTTTCACAGTAATGTCCTATAGACAGAAGAGAACATGTGAACAAGGATAAGTAGTTTTCACCAAATAACTGAGGCTGACAACATGATTTGCAGTAAATCTTTTCAGTCGCTCTTTTCTTGCAGCACTGATTGTATCTGCTTCACAAACCAAAAGCGTAATAACATTTCTGAGCTATCGCGTTTGATTTCTTCCTTTGTGTCTGTGGCTTTCTTCACACCGTGGTGCAGGAAAGGTTTCTTTAAGCCAGTGGTTCCCAAAGTGTGGGGCGCATCCCCTCGGGAGGGCGCAGTGCCGTTGCAGGAGGGGAGCAGGAAGCATTATGGACTCCCGGTACATAAAAGTGTTTCACTGTAAAGACGGTTTGTACTGTGTTTTGTTGCAACCTGAAGCGTGAAATAAACTTCATTGGAGTTTTAATTCATAGGGATGCAGAAGAAAATGTTTGGGAACTACTGCTTTAAGCTGAGGCTATACTCCTTCAGGCATTCTCTGTGCCTCCAGGTAGTGATGCTTTCTGTAAGGAGGAAACTTTTGGAAAAGAGAAATCACATTATATGAATATATCATTATGTTGGAACATCTCCTCACACTTTGAGCTATTACATTATTCCCCATCAGGTCCTGCTACAGCGCGATCAGGCAGAAGCTCTTGTTGCACCTTCATCCTGTAGAAGAGCAGACTGGAGCCGACTGTCTCCCGCCTCCCACCTGGGAAGCTGTATTACATTGACAAGCTGCACACAAAGACACACACATGCACACACACACACCCTCCCCTGTGAGTATCGGAGAGCGAACATGTTCTGGTGTTTCTGGCTACAAACAAGTGAGGAGTGTACTGAGCGTCAGACAGCAGAGAGACCAGAAGCAGCTGATTCAGCTTTTGAAAGACAGATTAAAAAAGAGCAGGAGGGAGGACAGAAGTGACAGCGTCTTCCTGTGAGTGGATCAGAGTGTGTCTTCAGCCCCCCACCAGACAGCTTCAGTCCACAGGTCATTAATGCAGCTGTCAGCTGATATTCGACTGGAGGGACAAGATGAAGCCTCCCCTGCTCTGTTGGCCTGCGTGTCCCAGGTGAAAAGCGGCGTCCAGCAGCAGGGCTACTCTGCAACCATCCTCCTACGACATAAAGACAAAGCGGAGCGGGTGAGCAGCCTGACAAGTGGCTTAGATGTCCTGAAATTATGCTTTGCTTTTTAGAGTCAAAAAAAAAAGAAAAAGAAAAAAGTGTTTTCAGCTAACTTTAAATGCAAAAAAATGACAAATTCAGAACATTAATCCTGATAACCAAAATAATGTAAAATGTAAATGCATTTATGTAAATGTAATGCTGAGAAATTCATACTATGGGTCCAGTGGAGTGCTGCTCAGTATGTACGCCTGCAGTTCATCTGTCTTCATGAAGGTGAATTGCCTTTACATGCAGCAGAGCTCCATTGCCTCCTGCAGGAATTGATTACCTTTTTTTTCTTTTTACCTTCGCTGCATGTTTAAATGGAAAACACCAATCTCAAAGACCTTTACATCAAGCAACAGGAAAAAATACTTGAGTTGATCAAATAAAAGATTAACACAGAACCCACAATTGTACCATTTTGTAGATAAAAAGGGGTTTTAATACGGCAGAATTAAGCTGAGTGTACTGTTATTACCTCCTCATGCTGTGAATATTTACATCTCATTCAAAACTTTCTTCTTCATTCACTGAAACCATCTGTAGACCCAAGTCCCAACCTCACATTTTAAATTCTTTGAGGCAAAAGGGTTAGCTTTGACCCCACTGGGTTTCCTTACATCTTCCTTCATTTTTAACGTGTTCGTGTTCAGTTTGATGGCTGACTGCACAGAGACGCACACACCAGATGGATTCAGGGGAGTTTCTAACACAAATGAAAGGCTGTAACTATTAGCCTTGCTGAGTGAACCAGAGAGCATAGAGTTAACTCCATCCTGAAATTAAAACAGCACAGGTTTATGATAGATCAATAAATCAGCAGTCTGAGATGAGGATAGTTCAAATGAGCTTCAAGCTTGAATTTTCTTAGTTATTAAAATTGTGCAGAAATGACTTCAAGCCTGGGAAAGACTGACTGGTAATACAAACAGAAAGAATACCAGGCTGAATTCAAGCTAAGTAAAAGTCTTCATCCTGTTTGAATTTGAGACTCAGAAGCATTCATCCATCCATCCATCCATCCATCTCTGACAACTGGCTGGACTGGACCGATCGTCAGTCCATCTGCTTGCTGATGATTGTAAGCTATTGAAGCAGATGATTGCTTTGTGGGCCCCAGCAGAGTGTTCAGTATCGATGGTACATAGAAATGAAATCGTTGTGTATTTTGAAAGAAATCTCAGAAAATCCCTGACATACTTGGACTTTGAGCACATTAGCAATCATGAGTGCAGCTCATTGTGTTTCTGTATTTAACTACAAGATACAGGACAACAGTCACCTGTCACTTTATTAGTAACTGAAACTAACCTGAATATTTACAAACCTCCTCTTTAGAAACT